TCCACACTTGATGTACGGCCTACGGGAAAGTTTGTAATCTTATCATTGATGGGGGGCAGCTGTGAAAATATTGTTTCTCAGGAGATGGTAGACAAGATGATGTTGGAGAATTAGGTAACAGTTTCTAAGCGCTGTCTAATTTCTTTTTCTATTGAAAATCATTATAAAGATGAGGTGTGGGGCGATGTTGTGCCTATGGATGTTTCATTTATTTTTGGGTAGACCATGGCAGTATGATAGACGTACCATATGATGGATTTAAAAACACTTATTCCTTTGTCAAAGATGGGATAAAAGTGGTTTTATGTCCATTTATGAAGGAAAATGCATCCAAATCAGATCAAAGGTGTACTAGCCTTCTTTCTTTGGTAGAGTTTATGGAGGGATTGGAGGAGTCAAGGATGTTGTTTGCAGTGGTCCAAGTGGAGGAGCTGCATATGAGTTCAGTTCCATCACAGTTAGAGCCCTTAATGAGGGACTATAGTGATGTCAATCTGGATAAGCTACTAGAGGCGTTACCACCCATGAGAGACATCCAACATCACATAGACCTCGTTCTTGGGTCTAGCCTATCGAACAAGGCTGCGTATAGAATGAGCCTAAAGGAGCATGATGAGTTGCAGAGACAAAGACCGGTCACAGAGCTTCTACAGAAGGGGTTCATACGAGTGAGCATGAGCCCTTGCGCTGTCCTGGCCCTATTGATGCCTAAAAAGCATGGGACTTGGCACATGTGTGTGGATAATAGGCCATTAATAAGATCACAATCAAGGACCCCTTCCCAATTCTGTGCCTAGATGATATGTTAAATACATTGGCTGGTGCTATTGTGTTTTCGAAGATAGATTTGAGGAGTAGGTACCATCAGATCCGTATTTGACCTGGAGATGAGTGAAAGACTGCATTCAAAACATGAGAGGGCCTTTATGAGGTTGGTGATCCCATTTGGTGTCTCCAATGCATCTAGTACGTTTATGAGGATAATGAATCAAGTGTTCCAGCCATTTATTGGGAAAATCGTGGTGGTATACTTTGATGATATTCTTGTGTGTAACATTGGTGAGCAGGCACATATGGAGCACTTATGGTTGTTGTTTGACTTGCTATGGGAACAACTGTAGTATTTGAATCTTAAAAAGTGTGAATTCATGACAGATAGCCTCATCTTTCTTGGTTATGTTGTTTCAGCTGAGGGAATTAAGGTTAATCCAAGGTAGCAATTATCAAGGATGGACCTATTCCTACAACTACAGTGCATGACGTTCGCAGTTTTCATGGGTTGGCTACTTTCTATAGGACGTTTATTAGAGGCTTTATTTCGATCATAGAACCTATCATAGATTGTTTGAAGAAGGGGGGATTTGTACAGTTTGATGAAGCTAAGAAAAGTTTTCAGTTGGTGAAGCAAAAGATGATTGTGGCACCCGTGTTGGCTCTTTCAGTCTTTGGAAAAGTCTTCGAGTTGGATTGTGATGCTTCGCATGTTGGAATTGGTGCAATGTTGAGCTAAGAAGGTCGCCTTATCATCTTCTTTAGTGAAGTTGAATGACACCTGCCAACGGTTTTCTACTTATTATGTGGAGTTTTATGTTATTATTCAAGCGTTAAGGCATTGGCAGCATTACTTGATTCAGTGGGAAGTTATTTTGTTCTCAGATCATGAAGCATTGAAGTATATTAATGGGCAACATAAACTAAATCAACGACATACTCGATGGGTAACCTATATGCAAGGGTTCATTTTTTGTTATTCGGCATAAAGCAATCAAAATAGAGTGGCAGATGCTTTGAATAGAAGGTCGACTCTAGTAACTACCATGACGACTGTTATTATTGGGGTTCGAGTTTAAGAAGAATCTTTATGTACATGATGATGAGGACTTCAGAGCTATATGGGACCAGTGTTGCAATGGAGTCATCAAGGATTTTCTTATTAAAAATGGATTTCTCTTCAGAGGAAATCGTCTTTGTGTTCCTACAGATTCCCTTAGAGAAACCCTAATAACAGAGCTTCATGGGGAGGTCTTGGTAGATATTTTGGTCGAGACAAAACTATAGTATTGGTGGAGTCTGTTCCTACAGGCTCCCTTAGCGAAGCCTTAATAGCAATTCTTCATGAGGGAGGTCTCCATGGACATTTTGGTCGAGATACAATCATAGTATTGGTGGAGTTTAAGACTATTGGCCAAAATTGAAGAGAGATGTTTGTGCGGTTTGTTGAGATGTGTTGTATGTGCCAACTGCCTAAGGGGCAACGACAGAATACTGAGCTTTATTCTCCACTTCCTATTCCTCATGCACCTTAAGAGGATGATAGTATGGATTTCGTGCTAGGACTTCCACGGACTCAAGGAGGTATGGATTCTATATTCGTGGTGGTGGAAAGATTCTCAAAGATGACTTTTTATACCTTGCAAGAATACTCTAGATGCCACACATGTTGCTAACTTGTACTTCAAAGAGGTGGTGAGGTTGCATGGTGTTCCAAAGACAATAACTTCAGATCGGGATACGGAGTTTCTCTTGCCATTTTTGGGGAACTTCGTAGAAGATGGGCACTCGGTTACAGTTTAGTAGTGCTTATCATCCGCAAACAGATGACCAGACTGAAGTGGTAAACCGTACTCGGCAATCTTTTTGAGAAGTATTGTGAGGAAAAAGAAGAAACAATGGGACCTAGCACGGCCTCAAGCTGAGTTTGCAATAGATCTACTGTTAAGAGTCCGTTCGAGGTGGTATATGGGAAAAATCCTACTCACTCACTTATCTTGGTTCTTGTCCAGGCCAACGGGGAGGGTCATGCTATTGTTGAGGACTTAGTTGAACAAATGAAAGGAGTTCATGGACAAGTGCATGCTAGTCTAGAAGCCAATACAACTAAATACAAGAAAGTAGCGGACAAGCATCGTTGTTTCAAGGAGTTTAATGTGGGAGACTGCGTAATGGTGTATCTCAGGAAGGAATGGCATCCAGTGGGAAATACAGCACGCTGAATGATTGTAAGGCAAGACCATTCAAGATTTTGAAGAAGATGGGCAGCAATGCTTACAAGGTCGCTTTGCCTTCACATATGGAGACTTGGAAGATCTTCAACATTGTTGATATGTCCAAGTATCGTGGTCTAGAGGTGCATGAAGATGAAGATGTGAACTCAAGTGCAAGTTCTCAACTAGAGGAGAATGATGATGGTGATCAGAGGACAACAAGTAGTCACAAGTATCTTCTTTGGGAGTGACAGATTCCTCCTAATTATCGCTCATATTTGGAGGATGAAAACCCTAAGAGGGCTTCCGAGAAGGACAAGAAGAGCAATAAATAGTTCGAACATTTTTTTTTAGTTTTTGAGGCGATTTCAGATTTATTTATTTATTTTATTGCTGGACTAGTTAGGGACTTTTTAGATAGGGAATTTAGTTTCAAGTTATATTTAAGTTACGACCTTTTGGTCAAAAGTTAATTATATGAACAAATGTCCAAAACAATAATTTTCCGATATAAATATGGGTGTGAATGGGCTAGAGAGGCAGTCACGTATTCCTCTTTTAAGAAAGAAAAGTCTTTACCTTGGGAAGAGAAGCCTAAGGCTTGAGCCTTAGGTGGGAGAAAGCCTTAGGGTTTCTCCAATATTGCTTGTGCTATGGTGCTTTATTGCTGATTTTCTATGTTTATTCAAATTCTCTACATAAAAAGCTTAAAAGGGCAAGGGATAGGCCAAAAAGGATATGGCTGGAAGCGGTGAGAAAAGATACGAGGACTTGTGGCCTCATTGAGGCTATGACAGAGCAAAATGGCGGACCAAGATTCGTGTGGCCGACCCCAACTAGTTGGGAAAAGGCTTTGATAATGATGACGATGAGGATGATAAAAATTAGGATTTGAAATATTTGAAATTTTGATTAATACTGCTCTAAAATTTTCAAGTTTTCGGATCTCCTAGATTCCAACTCAAAACCTAAAATTGCTTGGGGGTTTTAATTGGGGGTTGTTTGAGGAAGCTTTGACGAGGATTGGGGGCGTCAATTAGCACCAAGCTTGAAGATTAGGGATCATCCTTAAAATTTCTGATAAAGTTCTTTTTTAATTTAAATCCATAATTTTTTTTCCTATTTTCACATATTTTAAGATTTTTCTGATTGTTTTTAATCCACTAACATCAAATTTCTTTATATTTTATGTTTTATATACTTCTTTTACTTTGTAAGACTTATGGAATTTATTTTTTATTTTTTTAGGGATTTGTGGAATTCCCACCCCACCCTCTCCCCCCTCTTTTTTGTGCTTTTTTGTGGTCTCAGGCTGGTTTCAGACCAGTCAACTCGGACTCGCCCGAGTCACTTGGCTCCGCAATGGCCCAAGTACCTTGCCTGAGCCGTGTTTTAGAACATCCATCAAAGAGAATCAAGATGTTATAGTTTGAGCTGGGGTGTTTGCTTAGCATAAAGAAAGACCTAGAGTTCGCTGTTCTGATATTATGCCATACTCTTCTGGGCTATGGGATATGGTTTAGGGTATACAGATTATCTACCGTACACTTTTAATGATAGATGATTGAGATTAACTGTTGTTCCTCTGATTGTTCCAGTACAGTCAATTTATTTTATCCATCATGAGAATGGATTATAGGTGCCTCCGTGATATAAAATATGTGCCGTATGCTATATTTTCTTTTAAACAGGTTATGATCCATCTTAAGTTGAGCTGATCTCCACCTGCCCTCAGAAGGAAGATAGGACAAAGACCTGAATTTTAGAGTATAAAAGATAATTAAATAGAACATTCTATTAATCAAGGGAATAAAAAAAGGAAGATCACTTAACCAAAGGGAATAAACACCTCTCTTTGTGAAGGTGGCTGAAATTTTGCTTTTCTTTGAGGAATTTGTGATTCAAGCATGAGCAAAAGGATTGCTTGTGAGTGATTCTGGATTCTCTTCATAAATTGGTGAGGAATTGATAATTGACTAAGCCTTTTTTTTCCTGCCATTTTGTATGCATTTACAGCTTCCTATGGATCTACCTTGCGATACAAAAGTGTGGAGAGAATCAAGCCTGTTGGTAAACACTCTCTTCTAGGTGCAAGTGGAGAAATAAGTGATTTTCAGGAAATCTTACGGTACCTCGATGAGCTCATGTATGTGACTTCCTTCCTAAGCAGAGTTTTGCTTCGTGTGTGTGAAAATCATAATAATAGATTGATGCTTGTAACAAGTGCACTAGTTTTTACTGCTTGATTGACTTCTAGTGGTATTTTTGAGAGGGCGGCAAAAGATGTCAAGTTTGCCTTGTTGGCTGTTCTTTATGGGGGAAATGGCTTTTGTTTAGAGAATATTTACTTTCTCTAATACAGTTAAAAATATTTCAGCTTATACGATAATATGTGGGATGATGGGAACTCCCTGGGACCCAAAGAAGTGCACAGTTATCTCAATCGAGTAATGTACAACAGGCGCAACAAATTCAATCCTTTGTGGAACTCACTTGTCCTTGGTGGAGTAAAGAATGGGAAAAAGTATCTTGGCATGGTATATATCTCTCTCTCTCTCTTCATATACTGGTTACAACTGCTGCGGGAGTTCTTCATTGTCATGCGCTTTTTCAGGTCAGCATGATAGGTGTGCATTTTGAGGACAACCATGTGGCTACTGGATTTGGGAATCATCTCGCTAGGCCAATTCTGCGGGATGAATGGCGTGAAGACATGACCTTTGAGGAGGCTGTGAAGTTGCTTGAGAAGTGTATGCTTGTACTTCTCTATCGTGATCGATCAGCTATCAACAAGTTACAGGTAATAATTTTTGCTGTGTACCACAAGTTACTTCTTGGTGAGTTGACTATCTTTGGAATGACATTTACTGTTGAAGAATCATGGTTCCTGTTGTCCAAAGTCTTAACAATGTTGCTGTGAGTCAGTAATTAAAAGGTAAATTTGACTTATCCGATGGCTTGGCTTTTCAACAATCCTGTGGGTTAAACCCTATACATACCATATTATGATTCCCATGGAAAGAGAAGTGGAGGACATCAGGTTTTATAGGTTTGTTAGTTATTCAGGTGGGTTGTCATTAGTTCTGTGTGGCTGTGTGGCTTGGAGAACGTACTCTAGGCAGAGGTAGTAATGGTGGCCGGTGCCCGAACGTGATGTCTTGAGTTCCATTCTTGCCAAGACCCAAGTTAACATCTCCCCCCCCCCCAAACAAAAAGAAAAAAGAGGTTTTATGAGTGGTTTGTATAAGGTTGTGTGTTATGGCTGATGGATTGGCATGGCACATAAAAAATTTGATGGCGATTTTTTGGGGCTGGAAATTTTAGATGCAGTTGCTCATTGTTCATGGGATAACCTTCAATAGTGACCTCGAATTAAAGGATCCCTTTACATGATTGGAAATATGACATTTCCTTTACGTGGATTGGTCAGACAAGGGTGCCTTTGTGTAATCACAAGTCTGATTTCTCAATAATGGTAATTGACACCCAGAATTTAGAAACACAAGGTTTGGGGGCGTGCTCCATTTGTTTTTCTTGTTTATAGCTTCCCTTCTGCTGTTTGTGTGTGTGTGTGTGATAGTGCACAAGTTGTATGGAAACACAAATATGTGGCCATCTTTGATTTGTCCATGTCCCCATCCAAACTGGGGGCTCAAGAGCTGATATGGTTGCAGGCCATTGGACACAATAAATATACAAAAAATAATATTTGCATTAGAAGTACCTTAAAAAAAGTATTGGGAGTATTGTAGTACATTGTAGTAATAATATAATATGCATTGTTAAAATAATCCATAATTGTAATGCACACATTTATGTCGAACAAATTTTATTATTGATATGTAGTAACCTGTTATGATATTGTTTTGATATCCGTAACTCAGAATTATTTGAAATTGAGGACAAGTGTATTGAGGACGCCTCTAAAAAATGATGTTATGTTCATGTGTGAGATTTTGCGGGTGTGTTCGCTTTTGGTTTTTGGTTCCACTAAGAATATTAAGTGCAAGTTGGTCAAGGGAAATTGCGGAAGATGAGAACTGTGGTAAGAGGCATCAATTGTAAGCCTGACTGTTCTTGCTTCCATTGTTTCCTTGCAATGTATTATCTGAAGAAAATTAAAGCAGAAAACAGTTTGGATTGGCCACTTCCAAATCAGTATGAAACAAACCTAAATCTGTTTGTGTATATTCTCAGAATAGTAATATGTATCTATCATCCACAACAAGGCTTTGTATGTAATTTAAAGGACTCGTTTCTACCCATGCAGATTGCTAAAATCACAGAGGAGGGCGTGACCATCATGCCTCCTTATGCCTTGAAGACATTCTGGGGCTTCTCTGCTTTCGAGAATCCAACCAAAGGGGCCGAAGGATCGTGGTAGCTCCTAGTAAGGGAAAGTGTGCGTTCCTTGCAAGTCTTACAATTTCTCTCTTCATTTAGATATATTCTAGTTGGAGATTAAAACTGAAGGCCCTACCTGGATTTCACTTGAAATATTTTCTCAAATTTCCTTCCTCATATATGGTGTTGCCTATTGCTTCGATGTTTTCATTTTTGCACTTCTTACAAGGTCGTCTCTGATGTGGTGAATTAATGCCAATCTCATTGCCACAGAAAGTGTCATACAAATACATTCATAGGGAGGGTTACCTACCTGTGTTACTGGATCTCTAGACTTAAGATTTTGATGCTTTTGGATGAGAGATATTTTAGCTTCAGAAAAAATTGCACAATCGTCTTAAATTTAGTGTGCATTTGCATTTGAGCAAGATTGAGATCATTTGCTTTATGCTTTCTTTGAGCTTCCCATTGATTGCGAGGAAAAGAAAAGGGAAAAATACAATGTATCCGTCATTAAGGTTATAGAGAGGGCATTGCTCTCGAGGAAGATATAATTTATCTGCCATTAAGGTTATAAAACGGGGGTGTTGCTGTGGAGGAAGATATAATGTATCTGCCATTAAGGTTATAAAATGGGGATTGCTCCGTGCAGCTCTTCTTAGGCCCATCTTTTGTTTATTGTTTTAGTGTTGGATCCAGAACATGGGTAGGAATATCGAAGAAAATGTGGCAGAATGTCCGCATGGGCGTTTATGGCAACATGTGTACAAGTAAAAGCTATAAAAGTAGGTAGTGTGTGCTATGTGAGCATTTAGCTTCGGTATAAGGAGGAAGTCCATCAAACTTGGTTGATAGCACGATGTAAGGTAAATATTTTATTGGGCACTTTTTCATAAAATTGTTGGTTTTTAGCCATTTTTAAACGGGTGTGGTTTGCATAGAGCCGAGGCTTTAAACAATCGTATTAAACTGCACCTTCAAATAGCGTTTAGATATGTAGTTTCAATACTACGAATTTTTGTGATAGCTCTAAATTATATTTTCATCTCTAATTATAAAATTTCAAGTTTAAAAAATAATGTAGATCGAGCAAATCTATGAAAATTTGAAAATTGACCGACCAAAAATACATTTTAAGATACACTATTTCCAAAATTTTAAAATCTATTTTTTTTCTCATGTCCATGTATCTTGATGTCGAGATGATCAATTTGAGGATATTTGAGTAATAATCATTTCTCATAAAATTTTTTAGATATGCTCTAATTTGATTGTTTAGAACCTTTTTCTTTTCAAGTAGGGTGCAGTTTGTACAAGGCTTAGACCCTAAACAATCCATGTACTTTCACATAATGTTGAAATGTTGTTCCAGAATTAAAAATCTTATGATGGCCTGAAAGCTTAATTTCATCTTTAATTGTAAAATTTAAAGATTAAAAAATAAAAAAAGGTAGAACGAACAAATCCATGAACACTTGGAATTCTTGAAAATCGACAGTCTAGATAAATTCATTACAAGATGCACTATTTCCAATATTAGAGCAATTTTTTCTCACGTTTATAAATTATGAAATCTAGATGATTGACTGGAGGGTTTTTCAACATCGAAACATCTAGTAAAATTTTGATGCGCTTGAACGTTTAGGGCCTCACTCTAAATCTCTTATATAACCATTTTCCTTTTAAATACTTGCCTAAATGGAGCTCATAATTTACTTTTATTTTTATTTTATTTTTTTGGTTTTTGGGTGAGGTGGGTTTAAAATTCTATAGGGGCTACCAATATGGATTACTTCAAAATAATTTAATAAAATCAATCTCAAAAAACAGGGAAACTGCAGGGGAGATTAATTTATTAAAGAGTTCCAACTTTGTTAAACTTCTATCATGATAAAGAAAAAAGATGGCATGATACTCTAGATCTCGAAATTTGTTGGATCTGCCCTAACAACGGCCCGGTATTTCTAGCTCTCCTCGAATTAGTCGTCTATAACCAAATTGCCTCCATTAGGTTTAGGCAGTAGCGTAAATGGCCCTTAGCTTCAAAACTGACCCTTTCGTTGAAGGGAGCCCCAAATTGTTTTGAACTGCAGCTTCAAAAGTGACCCTATTGTTGAAGGGAGCCCCATATTATTTGAACGGATCTTTCTTTATTCGGTCCAAAGCCATTAAGCCCGTCACAATCCCTCTTTAACAGTAACAACACACCAGTTAACCCAGCACAGCTTGAACAATCCAGTATCACAGGATACCAGATAGATGAAATTGCCCGGGGTGCCCCTTGTGATTGAATGGGTGCTTTCTTGCTTATTCTACCCCAGCAAAGCCTGTGATCTGGCTCTGCCATTTTGGTTTTTAAATCAACCAAAATTTCAGACATTAACTTTGCACAACTTCAATTAGAGTTTCCCTCACATTCTGTGAGAAAATTGTTGGGCAGGCTTTGAGCTGATCCTAGAGGTCCCTGTTTTCCTGACCATGCTAAAGAAAGCGGACACCTAAACATGAATGTTCAGTGTTGCATAAAAAAGATTCTAAACATTTGATTCAAACAATTTTACTCCATAATTGTTCCTATATTGATAAATAACATAATTCACCTTTTAATTAATTATTTTTAACTGCTCAAATGCGTAAAGGCACTAAAAAGTGCATAGGGGTATTCACTTCTGACCAAAATATCAAGCATCCTTTTAGGCTTAATTAACTCTAGAAAAACTAAAGAATGCTCATCAACTTGCCCCCCCTCTCTCTCTCTCTCTCACACACACACACACACAACAAACCAGCATTTTAACAATGACTGAACAGTTCATCCATGTATACTTGAGAAAAAGAAAAATGTTGCTTCGAGTCTGAGAAGTGTCAACCTGAACATGGATAGCCTCGAGTCTTAATTATCAGATAAACAAAAGAGGAACTGCATGCATGTCATGAACTAGAAGTGCGTAAGTACTGATAAAGAAGAGCTAATCAAAGAATCGTGTATTTCCCTAAAGAAAGGTGCTCAATATCCAGTCTCAAGTACAGCGCAGCCGACATCTCATCACTATATAACAACAAGAATAATGTGAATCCCGTGGAAACAGAAACATAGCAGAAGATGGATCACTGAAACATCAAATACAACGCACACCACACTGCTTTACAAGATAAGTTAGAAAAGAATTGATAGGGACAAAACCAACATGCAGAAAGGAATTCACTCCCAATAGGGTGATAACAGCGGGGCTAGATAAAACTGAAGAAAGGCCAAAAAGAAAGCAAGACTGGAACAAAAGTAAAATAAAATAAAAGATTAAGCACTCAAAAGCCATGCAGCCGCGTAAATTTACAGGAAAATCAGAGAAGGAAAATGACCAAAGCAGAGGGTTAAGATATGGGATGAAACAGGGCTGCTTCTTTGAATGCGCATGCTCTAGAAATTCCACGTCCATAACATGTAGTGTTGTTCATAGTGGAATCAAAGCAAACAACTCAAAAAAGCACCCCAACCCACTTTGGAGAGAGGGAGAGATTAGCTATACACGGTCACGGGCAGGGCGGCCAATAAGTCTGCATTGTTCCGGAAGTAATGAAACAACCACCTGACCACCAACCATATGAAGCTCGCCATCGATACCACACCCACCATGGGTGTTCTTGCATGGTATGAGCTTCACCGACTTAACCTGCAACATAATTTAAAGTTCATCCACATCAAATGATCTCAGAATTATATGAAACTGAATTAGTACTTCTGAATTTTGACTAATTTCATGGTGAAGGGGCAACTTAAGTTGCTCAGATTGCTAAGATACCTAAATATAGGTATAGATGCAGATACGGATTTGAAAATGAATATTGGTAGCAGGGCTACAACTTGGCAGTACTAACAAATCCAAGATGGGACTTTAACATAAATTATATTACGTTCATAACATAAATTGAATAAATTATGCCTTACAGTACAAGGTTCTATCATTATTTTCTGAAGGTTACTAGCATTCATTAATTATATGTAATCATGAGAAAATTGTGTAGTCTTGACTGTACACATACACCATAACCTCTAAATATGTAAGTATGTGATACTGTTGTGACCACAACAGCACAAGCAGTCGATCCTTCCTGGTGAAAGAATTAGCTAATTGGTCAGATTGCAGCTCCCATTCAGGGGGATAGAGCGTAAATTCATTATGACGCGAAAGCGTTCAGGACTTTTTGCATTGCAGGTGCTTGTGAAACCCAAAAATGACTAACATTTATCTGTATGTTAAGGTTAACATTCTAAAAAAAAAACATTTATCTGTATGGCCTGTAAATGCACCCCGAAATCTTGCCGGGCCAGAATTGCCAGCAGAACTTCAATCGAAGTTCAATTTCATAGTCCCATGATTGGGTGATCCAATTGGAGGAATGAGACCTAGGGTTGTGTTTTAGTAATAGCCACAATCTTCCAGTTATATTGCCAAAAGGCCCCAAAATTCTTTCCTCGCACCTGCCAAATTCCTGACGTTGGCCTTGGTGATAACAATCAAGGCATCCACTGCTAAATACCAATCCTCAATTGTTCGTCAATTATCCTCCAGCCAAACCCCCGCCATAATAGCCATTTGCAAAGCAACTTACCTCTTCAGGGGAGGGGCAGATTGAACCATGATTTAAAGAGGCATTCAACTGAGGCTGGGGCCACCCAAGGTAATCAAACAGCCCTAGGAAATGGGTCCGGATCATTCAGGTCTACACATTTTGCTACAAAAGGATGTTGAATGGAGTCTTTGTCACATTAAAAAGACATGCATCCTTCAGTAACATGATACCTTTATGTATGAGGCGGGGCAGGGACAGACTATGGCTTGCTCTCCACCCATCAGTGCACATGTGGGGCAACCCAAGCTTTGTTAAAAGGACTTGACAGCATTTTTCTTGGAAGGATTGGGAGCCCAGATGATGGCATCTTCTCCAATGCTCCATCTGAATGGCTTCATGACAGGATGTTTGGCCTCCTGATCCGTGGCCAAAGGAAATAAAGCCAGAAACCTATTAGCTAAGCATCTATCTCCAACCTGAATGTCCTTCCAAGATCTAATTCTACTCCCACTTCCCACCAAGTAACAGAGGTGCTGATGAATGTCAGCCAAGTTGGTCTTATCCCCTTCCAGAAGCCTGGGCCCAAATATTAAAGATATCTTTTTTTTTAGAATGTTAACATTGTATTACTATAAATAGTTGTTACAAGCTATGCCCCTGAAACGGGGAGACAAACAAACAGGAAAAGCAGGAAAAAACAGACTGCTCCCATCTAGGGTGGAAGCCTAATATTCAAGGTATCATTACAAGAGCTCCCCCAAAACAAATTTAAACCACATTTGCTCATCAGTACCTGCTTCCACAAGTGCTGTTGTTTCTGTGCTTCAGCGGGCGTCCACCATTTGCCCAACAAAGCCCTGCTGTCTTCTCTCAGCTAACGGACTCAAGTGACCCTATTTGATAACTTGGAAAAGCCTGTTCCTTTGCAGACCCCTTCAGATGAGTCCCATAGGAAGTCACACTACAGTCTTTCAATCTTTCCTGTTACATTGGCCAGAATATTGAAGAGTGATAAACTTGAAGATTACTTAGAGCAGCCTTAATCAAGGTGATTCAGCCTCCAAGTGAGATATCTTCAGTTCTATGTGGAGAGGTTGTGCTGAATACTATCAAGGATCTCATTCCATTGCTCTTTTTGGGGGATACGAGCAAAGAGGTATTCTGATGGCAGTCAGTGTCATAATCAATGCATTTATGGGCTACCAAAGCCCCTTCTAAGATTTGCCTCCCATGTACGAAGGCCCCTTGAGATGGGCATATAACTTGAAGTAGCACTTACTGTAGTATTGACTCTTGATACTAAAACCTTGGCGACAATCTTGCAAGTGCTATTGACAAGGCGGAAGGAATGAAAATCAGATACGTCCTCAGCTCCTCTTGACTCTAGGGATGAGGACTAGAAGGAAGAATTCTTGGCTTATTGAATAAATGCTAGGTCATGGAACTTCACAAACAGGTTGAGAATGTTCCCTTTTACCTCCCTGAATATTTGGAATAGGGTCCGTGCAATTCATTTGGGCCAAGGCTCCTCATCCTTGGCTAAGACTGCCTCTTTAAGGCCTATCGAGCAATGAAGCCGATGGTTTTGAAATTTGGTCAAAACACTTTCCAGATGAACAATGGGTGTGTCCAAGATTTGGAGGTGTACAAATTCTTGAAGAAATTCGTGATTGCATTGGAAATCCAACCATATTTTTGGAATGAACTACCATTCACCTCGATAATCATAATCAAGTTGGATCTCCTTCTAGAATAAGCAGTACAGAGAATGAAGTTTTTGAGATCTTTCCCCTTGAGCACCTTAATTCCGGATATGTGGTGCCAGTACACTTCCTCACATTTCAGCAGATTGTGGAAGTTCATTTTGGCCAAAGCATTGCATTGTAACTCAGAGATTGATAGGTTCCTAGTTTTCTCTACATGGTCTAATTCTGCCAACTCCGAAAGAAATCCAGTTTTATTATCCTCTACCCCACCAAAAGATTGGTTAATCCAAACTTTTCCCGGAGAGCCTGAATCCCGTCCAACCTTGGACCTAGAAGGAAGCCCACAATTCCTCAACCAACTTGGCTAATTGCTTATTCTCCTCCATACACTCAATTCAAACCAAAATGGTTTAGGCCCTAATCAAGCACGTTAAGTCTAGAACAGGATGGGAAGATGGTCTGATGTAGGTTTAGGGAGGCAGAGGATATGTCTGATGGATAAGAAGCATCAGGAGACACAAGGAATTAACCAAATTTAGCAAGCGATGGGAAGGCAACATGATTAGAGCAGGTGAACTTCGCATAGTTCAGAGGTAGGGTTCTTGTCTACCTAAGGAAATCGATATATATACAAATTCTTGCCTCCAACTCCACTCCAAAACTTTACGAGGTTTGGCCTATTGAGCCTATACACTAAGGAGAGCCTATTTGGTCCATACACCATGGTGAAACACCACCTAAATCCATCTGAGGCGTTTCTGAAGACAGTAATGACAGAGAAAGTCTCGATCCCACTGTCCTCCATTGGAACTGTATCAGGGTTCAAGAAGACCCCAAATTCTCTAGATGCCCCATCAGCCAAAAGGGCAACCCATTTTACAAGATCACTTCAACCCTTAAAGATGACTAAAAGTTTAAGGTACCCATCTTTGCTTCGAAGAAAGTTAAAACATCCAGCTTCAACTTTGATAGAGCACATCTTTGTGTCCCCCGATCCCCTGATGTCCCAGGCTATAACCTCCACTAGGAAGGAAAGGAGCCTGCCCTGGTAATTGACATGGCAGGTTTGGTGAGGGAATCGGGGCAAACTCGAGGACAGCTAAATCAATGTTGATGTTAAATGTCAAATTTTTGAGCTCCTTCGCTTCCATTCTCAGCCTTCACGTCTTTAGCGCTGCCCTCTTTCCTCGTCTTTGGTGCAATAGCTTTGTAGGCTTCAGTTTCTTTGTCAACCAGATCATCATCATGCAAATCCAAGACTACCCAACATCATATTGACATTGTCTCTTGCGCAAGCAATTCTCTCTCTTCTAAGTAGAATGAGGCACATGAAGCAAAGTCCCATTGATCATCATCCTCCATCGGGGCACCTCAAATCATTCAGTGCTCTCTGATCTACTGGGGAGCAACAACTACATTCATTGGGATCATAATATCTTGTGCAATTTTCTGAAGCAGACTAACTTGCATGTTGGCCCCAATGGTGGGGACATGACTGGGTGGGGTTAAGGGGTGTTGGGTACTCGTATAGGAAGTTCGAAGTTGTGCCAGACTCCCATTCAGAAGCAAACAGGAATGGGGGTCGCAGCAATCCAATTAAGAGATCATGCAATATAGAATTAAAACATCAAAGGAGTAAGCCTGAATCCGGATGGAATCATGGTTCAGTACAATCAATAAAGATACACTTAAGCCTTTCATAATTATGTTAAGCAAAGGAAACTTTCTATATCTGCTTTTTTGATGAGAGAGAGGAGACCAGAATATATTCAGTGGGGAAAGGGTGGAGATAATTTGGTTTTGAGGTCCTCAGGGTGCAAATGTAGGGGCAGCAAATGTTGAACAGAAGAGGGAGGTGTGGGATACGAGGTCACCTGGAGAGAAAGATGGTTAAGGTTGTTCACAGTGAATGTTGGTGGAGGGACCGTGGTATTCTGGAGTTCTATCAGGTGGGATAAACAGGAGAAATGCCAAACAATCCTGTTGAGACCTTTAATGATGGGTAACATGGCTCTATTCTGGCCAACCATATGAGCTATTTGAACAGCCAGGGTAAGTGGTCAATGGTTAGATGTAGGAATAGGATTTTGTCATGTGGCTGGATTTTGAAGATTCCAGGCATGTAAGGGGACATCTTGGGCCATTAAGCACTGATGGCTCAAGTTTTGGTGGTACCACAGAGGCATATGGAGTCCAGGGTTGGATCTCTAACCGCGTGCCCTAAAATTGTGAAGTACCTGGGGTCAAGAGAACTGTCTGTGCATCAAGGCAACATAAACAGCACATGGTTATTTCCCAAAAACTTGCAGGAGACAGTTTCAGATATCTACCAACTTGTAGCAGCCCAGGCAGCCATCCTATTTGAGGGAGTGTCTATGGGGATTGAATCCGCCCACCACTGTAGTCTGCAGAAACTCCAACCTCTCTTGGATTATCTTGTCTCATACTTTGACAGCAGGGAGTCTGCCCAGTTTCTACATATTGTAGAATCTGGACACTTCTCTCTGCAGTTGAGGTGATACCCACTTGGATTCTCTGCTGCGTTTACTCCTAAAACAATGGGCATCATTGCTATTTTATGGGAAGTAGACTGTAATGATAGGATTAAAGGGTTCATGGCTATAGTTGCAATGGAAAATTTGGGGATGGGAGGGCATAGGATTTGGTCATTGTGTACTGTTTAAGATGATGTAGACATGGATAAATGGTAACTGGGCATGGGGGTTTGTGATGCGTTGGGCCATTAATGCTGTGGTGCACAGAGATTAAGATAGAAAAATCCCGGATATGGGTCAGGCAGGTCATAGTTTTGGTTATGATTTAGGTTAGGCTGACGGGAGGGGTGATGGTTTGGTTGGTTTTGACACAGCTGTGGTAGTGGTCTTCAAGTGTTATGAAGGCTCACAGTTCTGAATATGACAGGGTCTCTAGATATGATGGTGGGGTCTTCAGTGGGGAAGGCTAAGGATATGCCTATAATTGTTTCTCCATGGCAGAACAACTCACAGACTCTCAGCATGGAGCTGGAAGATTACTTTAAAAGCTGCATACAAGGTTCTATCATACATCTTCAATATATCTTCAATAGTTTTAAATATATCACATCATACATTGTGAAACATATCATGTTATTATACACTCTTCCCTATTTTACGCTTGCATTTTTATATTATAAGACTTTTATTCATTTTTCATCACTACTGGTACATTATTCTATAAATATCTCATCGTATCTGCTACTATATTGATAAAGGATCATATGAAAATAAAAGGACAAGTAGAACAATTTATATAGGCCTTTTCGATTAGAAGTTCCTTGGGAGAAATCTCAATCTGTTTTTATCATGATAAAAAAAAAGGAATTTTCTTTTTCTTAATAGTTTGCAAAAAATGAGTCACTTTCCCTATAAGGTTTGACAGAGAAAAAGAAATTTGGAATTCACATCCCTCTAGAAAACTTGAGGATCATCACGAGAGACCATAGTTTTAAAGATCTTTACCTTGACATATTCCACAAAGGGCAGGGAAAGATGCGTTCCAAATTGCATGCGCAGGAAAAACCTCAACAATCTAAGCCTGCCACTCCCACGTACCAATAACAAGTCCAAAGTGTTGTCATCATGTTCAGCACTTGGCGCAAGCACCTGTGAGCTCAAATTTTGCACAGTTTTACAAGCATGGTTACATACCAAAACCCCAAGAAATCTCCCCTTTTGAGAAACCCATTTCTCCTCAAACTTAGGCACCTCATCCTTCACTCCCATCTCTAAATCCTCCTCAGTTAACTGAAAAGGATTCCCTGCAGACCAATTGGGCTCTGTGTCCCACTTTGGCTCAGCATCCCACTTGGGTTCAGTGTCCCATTTGGGCTCAGTGTCCCATTTTGGTTCAGTATCCCAATTGGGTCCAGGATCCGACACTGTCGATGAGTTATCTTCCTTGTCATTCATTGCTGCATTACCCCAAGAACATCTAGTCTCATTGGCAGTGGTTAAACCTGTCCATACCTTATCAGTTCTTGATTTTGATCTTGTTCTCGGCCAATTGGGGGTTGTGGATAAGGGCAATTGGGGGTGTATAACTTCTTCCGGTTCAGCCACTACATTGCTTTTACCAAAGGATTGACGTTTCGATTTTGGGTCAAGGCCACGAACATAGTCAGAAGGCTCACTGCTTGCAAGAGTGCTACAAGTTACAGTGTCTAAGTCTCCAGACATTCGGCTTGGGGTAAGAATCGAATCAATGCTTGACAAGCTCGAGGCTCTTGGGATACCTCCATCCTTACTTTTCTTGGTGGAGTCAGGGCCTTCATTAGAGTTATCACCACTCCCAGACATCGCCGGATCTCTTCCTTCAAGGTCAGAATCTGGCTTCGAAACAGGAAGATATTCAACCTCGAAACTGTACTTTGGCAAGCATAACAATTTGAGGAATCCTGCAACAAAGTAGCGGAGAGGACCGAAACGTTTCTGGTACTTTTCAGAGAGCTCCAAGACTGCAACAAAACAAAGTATGTCACTGGAACATTAGATAATGGAGCTAATGGTAGCTTAAAAGAAATTTTTTCAATAAGTTGTATAGCAATTTGTACATTCTTATAGTTATAAGCACAGTCAGACAAACATGCATAAATCAGCAGGCATCTGTTGTAGGTCCATCTTTTGTAGAGCTTTAGAATTTTTCCTATTTTCCATTTAGTTTTTATCATAATAATTATAGACAGCTAGGTGTCTAACCAGTAATTTCTGGACTCATTCTAAAAATATGAGCTCTCTGATTTAATTTGTGGACACCATGAGAGTTTCAAAATCAGGAAAATCTCATTGTTGGCATTCAAAGTGTTTCAGAAAGCACTGATTACTGCAGGAACCAGTCCTCTGGATGGTCTAAATCAAGATCAAAAGTGTGTTCCCTCCAAAATTCGGATGTCACATCTTATACTTTGCATATCTCCAACAAATTATTGAAGTTCCAAACATTGAAGAAAGATATCTCTCTAAATGGTCAATATAGGCGGCAAATGTATCCAGTACAAGTTTGATTCAATTTCGTCCTATCATATTATTGACCAATTATTCACAAACTTACAAACTAAATACTAACTTCCAAAATAGTCATTTTCCAAAGAATAAAAGATGTTATAGTGCATTTAACATCTGCAATCAATCAACATAAATAGGCGATAAGATGAGAGCGAATAGGCTTAGGTGGGCTGGTCATGTGTGGCGCAGACCTAGTGCAACACCTGTTAGGAGGTGCGAGTTAGTTCAAGTGGAATGCTCAAAAAGGGCAAGGGTTGGCCCAAAAGGACATGACTGGAAGTAGTGATAAAAAATATGGAGACTTATAGCTTCACTGAGGGTATGACCCTTAATAGAGCAGAATGGTGGACCAGGATTCATTTACCCGACTCCAATTAGTTGGGACAAAGCTTTGACGATGATGAATTAATCAGCATAAAGCAATGCTTCCTTAAGGAAATCAGTCCACTAGGAGATCTACATCAGTCCAATATTATATCAAGTGAGAGCCCAAATCTGGAACATCCTACTCAATGCATACCTCTCTACATAAGGTGAATAGTTTCTCCGAAATTTACAGCTTTTCAAATAATCTAGGGTGATTAATATTCCTTTGTTTTTTTTTGTATTGAATAAAAATATTCCTGCACTGTCACGCCAATACTGAAAGGCATATGGTATCGTCATACAAAATTCCTGTTCATCCATATTGAGGTTTTGGAGAGTGAGTGAGCAATATAATAGCAAGTTTCCTACAACTAAAAGGGTGAGTTCCCACTTAGGCCTCAACACAGTTCAAGGTTCCATGTGTCCCTCGACGAACATACATATCAGGCCTTTGTTAGTTGCCAATGAATGACCTAGCACACATGTTGCTGGAATCCCAGCCTGAAAGAACTCAATCTATCTAATGTAATCAGCTCCTTGACAAGTGAAACTGCAACCATCAGTGACACTCAATAACCCGAAACTTGGTATACAGATTCAAAACAAAGAACGCAAGGGATATCCATCAGTTAATGGTAATGAAACGTGACATTCAACTAGTAGGAACCTACAAAAAGAGAAACTTCAAGGTAGGGCATCTATCAGAAACCCTACAAAGTGGGAGTTTTGGGAAACCTTCTAACCCAATTCAATTTCTGTCTATTCCAATATACAGCTTGAGAATTATCAACTTTATTGGAAAGTCATTCTTAATCCTCAAATTATAGGATCTTTTAAAATTATTTTTACGCATTTCTTTTTACCGGTATTCTATTTTTATGCATTTTTACCATCATGATCTAATACTAATATAATAGAATAATAGCATTGCACATGCCTCCCGCTGGTAAACTCCACAAATGATACAACTGTCCACCAGAAAGAATGAGATGAATGACTGAGCATAGAAATAATGAATTTACCATCACTCACAAAACCATAATATGAAACCGTCATGCCAAAGTGAATAACACCACTCTGTATCCACTCAACAGCAAAAACATCTGTCGCTGTAAGGCCACCCTGTAAAAAATAATAATTAAAACAGAGTACATTTGTGAACAACGATAATAACACAGTAAGTTCACATGAGAACTGCTACTTTAGGATCAAATATCGTGATGGAAAGATATGAAGCTGTATAAGATTAGGAAGAAATGCTGCTCAAGAACCACATAAAACTCACAAGAAGGTTATCATCTCAAGGAAGCATTGCTTGAACAAAAGTGCTAAACCATTAACAATGCACAAATTCAGGAACTTCCAATATTACATGCATGTAGATGCTCAGCACAAAACTTCTGATCGTGATACTGGAGCATAGAAAACGACTGTGAAAAGAACTAAAAGTTAACAATCGGAAAATGCTAATGGTTCTTGTAAAAATATTTGAAAGCATGACAAGAATGATAAGAAAACATCCAGGAACATGTTGTTTATCCTCAAACTGGATTAAAATTAATCTGAATCAGTTAACAACAAACAGTACAGATATCCAAAAATGCTAATATTGATGGTGAAAACATTTTGTAGAAAATTTGAAGTAGAGTAAGAAACTCAGGAACTTCCGATATTACATGCATGTAGATGTTCAGCACAAAACTTTTGATCTTGAGATATATTGAAACATAGAAAATGGTCGTGAAAAGAACTACAGTTAACAATAGGAAACTGCTAATGGTTCTAGTAAAAATATTGAAAAGCATGACAAGAATGATAAGGAAACATCCCAAAACATGTTGTTTATATTCAAACTGGATTAAAACAAATTTCTGAATCAGTTGACAAACAGTACAGATATCTAGAAATGCTAATATTGATGGTGGCAACATTTGATAGAAAATTAAACTGAACAGGCGTCAAATTAACTACTGTTATGTCCTTGAAATTTTAGTAATTTATATGTTGTAAGACCAAATAATGCCATTTCATTTAGGAAACATGTTCAAGTCTCTTCCCGAAAAAGTATCTTACAAATTGAGCATCCACTATTGAAAAAACAGCAAATAACCCATGTCCAGTAGTTATGCTGCTATGATCGTTCAACTCCTTAATTTAAAACATGAATCAAGTGCAATCATGCATGAACGTCGAAGTGTTTGTGTGTACGCATGCAACCATCTCAATAATGTTGCAAATTGCTCATGCAATGACCATGAATCTAATGTCCTTTCAATCTTATAGTATGAGTAAGGAGGAGACAATTTTTGTTAGAATTTGTTTTAAGAATTGCCGAGAAATTTCTACAATAACTTCAGGATTTTGACAACTAGATTGCTAGATGCGTATGAGGTCCTAAATCTCAAGTCATTCAAAAACTGGAAGTGGAACTACATTTACATCCTCATGAGTGTTGGCAAAGATGCAGAGATAGAATCAAATGGACATCAAATCCTTGTCAGATGCTCGAGAAGCAGGATGAAAAATCACAAAAAAAAAAAAACCTGATGTTGTAGCTGTGCCGCAGCCATATATAATAAGGTTTCACTCGGATATATAGCATGGGGTGATACCTCTCTCTAGGATCATTTCCAGAGCATTATTGCTCTTGCTTCACATTCAGAAGCTCTGATCCAGGATTGCTACAATCAACTGCAATGGTTATAGACATAGGAAAAAAAGATACAATTGACTACATGCATATAAATATATTACAACCCGAAGCATTAGGTTATAAAATTACAAATAATAATCATAACAATAATGTATTTCTATAATACATACCGTTACAAATTAGAACCTAACTTATACAAAGAGATATCAATGCATAATAGACCGGACTTGTTAAGACCAAACCAGCGTGGGCACCAGTCCATGTGACCAGCAGGTCTAGGACAATTCACCAGTTGGACAGGTCAAACAATTAAAAAATAAAAAATAGGAAAAATTCAAAGAAAATGAAAAAAACAGGAAAATATGAGAAATTAAGAAAAGTATAAAAAAATCACAAAAACAATTGAAAAATATTAGAAATAATTCATAAATTCATGTCCAATAACCCATCAAACAATACAAAAGAAACACTATAAAGTAAATATTGAACTATTGAGGGAAAAAGGACATAACTCATAACATAAATCGATAAACAAAAACCGACAGCTCCCAAGATGATACTATAAGCAAATTTGTGAACCAAAATCAACAAGATGACACTCACTTAAAACATATTAGAAGATACAATCCATTGCATTATTTTGAAAAAAAAAAAAGGCTAAAAAAATATTTTCCTGCAAAAACCCTAAAATCTATTCCTGGACCAGCCAGTTCACTGGTCCTACAACAGTTTGTTTGGTACGGCTACTCAAGGGGGCTAGCGGTTTGGCATCGGTTCACCAGTCTACCAGTTGAACCGGTTGTCCAAATCCAGTTTTAAAAACCCTATAATAGACAGACATAATGTTGCAAATTATGAAAATAATATATATCATATACACACATATGATATAGATCATAGATTAAAAAAATAGCCCACACAGGGCCAAGGCAGATACCTAGGCACCCAGGGGACCCTAGACCGCCTTGCCTAGGCATGGGTAGGTATGTATGAGCACCAATTCCAACTCCTGCCCAGGCAGGCTAGGTGAGCACCCAGAAATTGGACCTTTCTTGGCATGAAAAAAATTGCTTGTGAGGACATCTTTGGTCCTTTTGACCCATGAGAAAGGGGAAAAAAGGAGTTTGGGAGTATCCTAAACTCCTCAAAGTGCAAAAACTCAACCCTAAACCCTGAAAACGCACAACATTGTTTGTTTTGGTAAATTTTTTCAAATCAAGAACAAATTGTAAAGTTTGAAGAATCTTCCCCGAGCTTACCCTATCTTATTGTACGAATTATTAACTATGAATGAAGTATGGACTATGCCACTATGGAATTATGGACACCGATACAACATTGACTTGTTTATGTTTTTCACTATTTCAGTCACTAAAAGAATCAAAATTTTCATTGATTTGAAGTTTTGAATATGTTTCAACATTCATACGTAGATACTTGCATAAAAAAGTTAGTTAGGATACATATAAGAGAGAGGTTTGTATCAGGTGTCAACCTTATACTATTGAAGTACGGTGCACCTCAAAACGATGCCAAAAATGTAGTTTCGGTGACGCAAAGCCTTGTGATGCGATGAAAGTCTATTATTGCCCCCAATTATGAAATTTAAAGGTCCAAAACTACTGACAATCAAGCAGATCCCTAAATGCTTGAAAATCTTGAAAATGGACAGTCCAGATAATGTGTAAGAAGATTAACTATTTTTAAGACTAGAAATCCCCTTTTTTCATGTCTATGAATCTCGAGGTGGAGATGATCGATTTGAGGGTTTTCCAGCATGGGAAGAACCTTCTCTAGTGGGTTACTCATATAGTATAAGGTTGACACCTTATATAAACTTTTTCCTACATATAAATACAAGAGAAAACATAAAATTAACACAAATACCTGCATAGCTTTTGGACAGCACATATAGTTCATACTTTTGAAAATTTGTCACCTCAGTTTGCCTGAGGTTCTGGAAGCCCTAGGGCAGGCCGGGCGCCTAGGGGCTGCCTAGTGTTTTCTTAAAAACCTTGATATGGATACATAATAGATGTGTATGCCGAAGGATATGCATGTAAACACATGCGCATACATGCAACAGAAACATACCAGCCATCCTACATTCCCATGGAAATATATATGGGAACAACTGCCAACTGTCAACAGCCAAAGGGAAAGGACTGAGACCCCTCGAAGCACTAGCACCAGTAAGCCAGCAGGTCTACCAGCTGTGTGCTGAGAAACAAAGCTCTTGTTGCAGGCAGTGATTTAAATTTGGTGCACCTCAATGCCAAGGCATTGGCTTCAGGCAGGCAAGGTCCTAGGTGTTCAACTGAGGTGGGGCCCTACAAAAGGCACCAACCTTTGGGGCCAAGATGCTTACGAGGCACCTGTCTAGGCCCTTGGCTAGCCTTATGGGCCAAGGCCGGGGGGGTGCCCCCTTAGAGGGAGGAAACAGGTTTTCGGGGGTATTCTACCCCCACAACCCCTTTTTCATTTATTTTGAGAGAAAAACCAAATCAAAAACAAGTTTTTAAGAATTTTTGAAAATTGGCAAAATTTCGGTTTCTTCCTATTTCTTGCAAAATCTAAAGGCATAAAGTATGGCAGAAGAGGTGTTTCGGCAACTTTGAATGGGTTTTGAAATTTTAGTATATTTCGATTTTGGATCTAGGGTTCGGTGATATTTTTCAATATTGGGTTTGGATTTGTTTGTTCTTCATTTTTGGTGTTTGTTTTTTTCTTTCAAGTTTGGATTGTTATTTATTGCCAAATTACAAGATTGGGTTTCGGTTGAATTTGTTAACATTTTGTCAAGATTGAGTTAGGTTTTGTATTTTTTCTAGTTTATTGCCCCTTCTCAATTTTTATAAAAAACAAAGCACCTTAAAATAGGTCTTTTTTATTATTTATTACATGAGACAATGTGGATCAGGAATCCAAAGCAACCCCCTACCCCATTCCCCCCCCCCCCCGCCCCCTTCCCCACCCAAAAGAAAGAAAAAGGCAACAACACTATTGAGACCCTGACCAACCCCTCCCCCTCTCTCCTCTGCCTTCTTTTGGCACCTGAATCATAGGGTACCTGTCTAGGTGGGCAAGGCCCAACCTACGTGGTCACCTCCGCATTGTTAAACACTAGTTGCAAGAATTGTAAGGCCTTTCGATACTGTAAGAGGTTCTGCTACTGCTAATTGGGGACGACATTGACTACAACAATGCCAAATTGTGAAACATGAGGCAAGATTGACATAGTGTATGGTGAATTCTTTCTCATCTCTAGATACAACTTCTCAAAGGGTTATTAAGAGACACCAAAACTTTGTCTTACACTGTTGGATGACAAGACACAAAAACATGGAGTTCTTTTTTATTTTTGGTTAAATCCTTTGGATTATATATATATATATATATATATATATATATATATATAGTAAGTACTACTAACACTATAGTAAGAAATAGAATAGTAGTATTACTACCTACCACTACTACCTACCGTACCTAACGTTACTACTACTACTAG